GGCGGGCGAGAGCGAGCCTGTCCCTAGAAAATGCGTGTTTGGAAGTGCAGGCTGTGAACGTGGCGAACATGGTTAATGATTATACAGTTGCTATGACTGTCAGGGCCAGATCCCACTGGCAAAGAGGATTGGAATAAGCCTCTGAATCTGGACGTGTTTGTGGAGAGGTGCAAACAGTTGTGATTGAACTGCTTTTCTGCATCTCTGTGCGGAACATGTCCAGATTCAGCCACTTACTCCAATCCTCTTGGCCCGTGGGATCTGGCCCTCAGTCGTGCACGGGGACATTCCACAGGGTCGAGGGGATGGGTGTGTGCAGGCGGAGGGTGGACCACCTCCAGCAATAGTGGCCACAGATGCATGGCAGAGGATCGAACACAATCTGTGTTCCTCGTCGAGAGCATGTTTTCCATCCCAGGGAGATTCACCATTCCCGGCAATGGTAGCCTCGACCTCTACCCAACCATCTCCAACAAGCGACGAGTGTCCTGTCCGATCTGGTGAGCAAGTACAAGAACAGCGGCACAAACCCTCGCGCGATCCCTCCTTGACATTCGAGCCATCTCTCTCTCTCTCTCTCTCTCTCTCTCTCTCTCTCTCTCTCTCTCTCTCTCTCTCTCTCTCTGGCGGAATGGAGTCTGTCTACCTCGTCTAGCGAAGTCTCTCATTAGAGGAGTGTCTCTCTCTCGTCAGGACTTGCAAAGCGATCCAGTGAGAACTCTGGTGCTACCGTGCTGGCGATTCTTCTCTGCTACCATGTTCCACGATCATCTCGTTGGCCGGTGAGCGTGTCCCCAGTCCCCCAACCACTGTCCCATGAACCGCTTACACCCGCGGAGGTGCCTCGCCCCTACCGCACGGGAACTGCCCCACAAGAATTGTCGCACCCAGTCGCTGCACCACTCTCCAAATGTGAAATGAGGCTAGATACATTTCCACCTCTAAGTCTTTTGTCTTTTGTGCATGTGGAGAGTAGTGCAGCGAGGCCCCCAGTCACAGCGGAGTTTGTAAGGTGCCGCCAAGCTGATTTTGCACGTGCGGATGTGGTTCAGGAGGCAGAACATGCCTGCAGGGCTCTGACCGTTTTTATGCTGTCCAAATTTCACAGCCCCGATACTTTATTCCACGTATTTAGTGCCGCTCAACATCACACTGGCTAGGAAACTGAACCGATTCGCTGGCAGTGGGACTTGGCCCCTGATGGCTGGGAAGCACGCTGCTGTGATTTCCGGTGGGAGGTCTCTGTTTCTTCTTTTTTTTTTTGCCCTTTTTCCTGTTTTTTCAGCCCAGAAATTCGTAATGAACCTGTCAGCCCGCTGTCACTCAGTGTCACACTGGATCGGCCACACTCCTATCCGACTGCTAATGGGACCTCGCACCAGGTGGGCGATACCGGCTAGGGGACAGCACTGAGTTTAATTTTCTCTGCATTTTTTTTTTTATTATTATTATTTGTTTTTCATATTTCATTTTTATTTCAAATTTGGTGAAGAATTTGGATGTAATAATGAGGCAAATGTTGTGCTGTTTAGTTTTCTGCATCACATAGATTTTTTTCAGACTTCTTTTTTTTTTTTTTTTTGGTCCGCGTTCGGCCCGAACGGCCGAACGAGTCTACAGGGGTGCCCGAACGTTCGGGCGTTCGGGTTTGGCCGTCTGGCCCTGGCCGAACGCCGGCTACCACGAATATATGTATATATCGTCACAAACAGAACTGCCCGGTAAACCGTAGGCAGAGAGAGAGAAGAGGACAACAAACGAGGGGCTGTGACAAACTGTTTCGTCGGAGTTTATACATATATATCGTCAAACAGAGCTGCCCGGTAACCGTAGGCAGGGAGGGAGAAGAGGGCAACAAACGAGGGGCTGTGACAAACTGTTTCGTCGGAGTTCCACCGACTCATCAGGAGGCTGAACCCTCAACAGTCTGAAGAATCCCCTAACTGATTACACTGTAAGTGATGATCCACCTTAAGCATCTTTTTTTTTTTTTTTTAACATCCCTCCTGCCAGTGCTAGTGCTGCTGATATGAGCATGTGACGCCAACCTCACGCCCGGCGAGACTTCCTGATCAGAGTGGGATGTGGGCCTGGAAGTGCGAGAAGGGGTGTGCCAAGGATTTTTGGGGAAGTGGGGGTGGAGTCCCAGGTCGGAACTGAGATCTCCTGTGGCAAAGTTTCAGGGGCATAGATGCAATAGAGCTAAGGGGGGGGCGGGTTGCTTTCGGCATGTTGGCGTTCGATGCCGTGCAGCATAAGGCAGATGGCATGCGCGGTGCATTCAAGGCCGTCCGATCTGTCTGTTTTGGGGGTGGCGGTTCGGGGAGAGGCTTGCCCGGGATGGTTGTGTTCCCGATGAGTCGGACCTTTGAGTGCAGACATGTGGCGTCTGTCGTCGCGCGTTTGGGTTGGGCCCTTTTTCAGGGGCTCGTCGGTTGCTGCGTCGCCGGCAGTTTCCGCAGGGCATGCGGGGCCAGTACGGGGCGATGGAATTCCACGGAATCACCGTGAGTTGGTGATATGGGAGGAGGAGACGGAAGGGGGGGAAATTGGTAGAGATAACGACGAAGCCGGGGGATATGAAATATTGCGTGTTGTCCGAAGTGGGAAAATCGGGGCACCTCGGATCGTTGGTTGTGGCGCAGTGAAACTCCCTGGGGCACAATCGATTCTCGGTTAGGCAGGGGAATTCCAAGTATCTTTGCCTAATACACTCTCGCACCCAAGGGTCGAAGTACTCTGAGTCCCAAGAACTCGACACCTTATCATTGCAGTGTGATGGAATTCTTCCGCACACGTCTAACCGGCAAGGAGATTTTCCGATGTGATATCGAAAACTCCTATCCGTTTAGGTTCGTGGGGGAAGGAAAATTCCCGCCTATCCGATATCAAGGGTGTCAAGTTCGTCAGTGGTCGCGAATCGGCGGGTGTGGATACGTGTAGGCTGCGCAGATCAGATCGCGCTTACACGCATCCCCGCGAGGTATTCACTTGTTTCTGGACAAACCACTACCCAATCATCTAATCACTCCGTGATCCCGCACGCAATCGTTCCTAAGCAGGCAAGGTGCTATTACACATCAGACATCACAGCAACAATAGTGGCTCAAAAAGGAATAAACAGCAACGGGAGCAGTAATGGCGACTACACAGAAGTTTTTACCATGCTCATGAATGTATCAAAATGACAAGCAAAGGCAAGGACCAGACAAAAGAGAAACAACAAACGTGACATTCATTCATCCATTCATTCGACAAAACACGACAACAAGATCGAGATTAATCGCAAAACGAGTGTGGGCCAAAACCAAACCAAGATTCCGAAAACAAAAGAAAACGGGCGGTCGCCCTGAGCCGAGATCAAAATTTATATACAAAAGCAAAGAGGGAGAAAAGACAAAGAAAACTGCAAATTCACGTCCATCAACCTTAGCTCCCTCTTCCTCTCTCTCTCTCTCTCTCCGATGCGGACAGTCCGTCGTCACGCACCAACCCATGAATTCGTCACCCTGCATAGTCCTCCTGCACCCGTCAAGTTCGCCCGCGCGCTACAGTCCGTCGTAGCCCCACGCGTCAACCCCGCGCATTCAGCACCAGCTCGTCAGGTCGCCCGACTCCCACTTCAACTCACCTTTTACTTCGCTCGTGAGCCGACCCTCACTGATCGCGCTACCCCGAGCTTCCAACAGCTGGTTAAGAGAGCTATCTAATCGCGCAGCCAGAATTTATACCGTGTGTGCATGCGCGGAGAACACAGAATTGCAAGGTTTTAGAAAGGAGATTAGGAGAGGGAGCGCCTACGTTCTGCATGGCCAGACCGTGGTGTGGGGGACGTAGCCACTCTCCACGCATCGATCCGAGCATGCAAGCCGTGGGCTAACTAGGCACAACAGAAGGGGAAGGGAGAGCGGAAAAGACGAATCTCAAGAAAAAAGATACAGTTACACAGGCGCCCGCCCAAAAGTTACAGTTACTTGCAAGATTAAGGGCGCCGATTAATCAGAATTCCGTTGCAACCACAAAAAGAAGCGCGCAAGAAAGACAGCGCGCGGCAAAAGAGATCCCGAATTCCTAAATTCCTAAATTCCTAGCTAATGCAAAAGAAATACTAATCCTGAAGAGCTGTCAAGACTCAACAAGATTCAAAAGAAGAGAAAGAAAAATTCGAAAAGAACGAAGTGAAAATTCCCGCGCGATCTCCGCACCTAAAATCCAACAACAGAACAGGAAAGAAGTGACGTCAACCATTATGAATTGCGCCTTCTCGGCGCGCCAGCCACTCAATCGGCCATCTCGGGACTTGCCCGGCCCTAAACCCAACCGTCCGAAAAGAAGCGGCGAAAAAGAAAAGACGAAAAAGCGAGGACATTGATGCAATTTTCCCTCAATCCCGATCTCCCGTAATTGGCTCAACCTTCCTATCTTAGGACCCCTCATTGTCATCGCACAGAAGATCGCGCGGAACAGAAATTGGTTCATCACATATGTGATGCCCAGGGGGTTTCAATCTTAAGCAAGCTCCTGCTTGCTTGAATCGTGACACGTGTCGGTCTCTCTAATCGATCGTCACGTGGAGCTTTTTACGTTGCCACCAACCGTGCAAAAGAGTGTGAAAGTCATTAAGGGTGGCACACGTGGCTCTATCCTACAATTTCCTCAGGATGGGCTCTCTTCAGTCCGAGGAGGGGATCGTGCGTGTCGTTGCCGTGGCACGTGCCAATCAACCATACATCAATGTCCTAAGGGAAGGTGAAAGGGAAGACGATGCATGGGGGCATGGCAAGGGGGTGGGTTAGTCGGGAGTGGGGGTAAAAAGCGTTCCAACCCCGCTACTATCTCCGGAAACTCCTGATATCGGACGATCCGGTGGAAGCGAGGGAATCGATTACCATTATGAGGGAGGGCTTAGGCGGCTCCGGATCCTTCGCAACATCGTTTGAGATTGGCAGATCCGCCTCGCTTGCGTAGTCCAGCTGCTGCTTGCCGGCGGCGATTTCTTCTCTCTTCCGCACCGCCTCGAGATCCTCCTCCGCGCCTTCCACGCGATCCGCCTCTTCTCCCAGGGTTTCCTACTCAGATTCCTCCTCTTCCTCCTCGTCTTCTTCTTCGTCGTCGCTCTGCTTTCCCTTGCTGTGCTCGCTGTAACTTCCCCTTTTTGGGGTTTCCTCTTCTCCTTCGTCTCCCTCCTCCTCCTCCTCCTCCTCTTCCTCTGGCGTTATCGCTTCGTCTTCGGAGGCCGTTCGAGGCTGAAAGAAGGCAAGGTCGATTATCTCCCGGGGATCCAGGTATGGTTGTTGTGATGGCGGGTTGTTGTTGCCCGCTAACTCCTCGAGGCAAGCCGACCATTGCAGGTAGGGTGTCAAGGCCCATGAAAAGATGAGCGGGACCGGGCTCTCGTCGCTCTGCGAGATGATATCGAGAGGGAGATCATCAACCAGCTGCGCGAGGGGAATCGTGAGTTCCTGTATGATCTGCTGTCGATAGCCGGGATGCACCGATCCGAATAGAAATCCGAGAAAGTCTCCTTCCACCGCCGTCCTCCACGCTGGGATAATTAACAGCTCCACGTATGCGACCCAAGTGCGGTGCTCTACGTCCCTCGTCCACGTCAGCTGCACTCCGATTAGACACACCGAAAGATCGACGAAATGCTCGCACCACCGCTCTCACTGTCTTTGATCGAGAAGCAGGACCGCAAGTGGTTCCAGACGAAAGGAGAGACGGGGGCAAAGGTCAGACTACCAGAAGGTAGGGAAGAGAGAGGGGAGAGCGAAGGTAGAGAGTCGGGATCGGTTCATTGGGGATGCTTGAAAGGGACGAGCTCAGGAAGTACCACCATGGGCTCGAGTCGAGACGTGCGGAGTCCTCCGACGTCGACACCATCTACGGGGACAAGATCATCGCCGCGGCGAGTAAGCCACTGACTCCATTCTGCTGCCAGTTGTTGTCCCCACTCCCTTAGCGACATCCGGATGGGCATGTGTCGCAGAGGGCTGATTGCGCTAATGTCACCATGGATACGTGGCTAACTCCTGGTGCTGACAGTTGTCGAACCGCCGTGCCTCTGCCAGTACGATCACTTGATGATGGCCGGTGAATCGGAACTCGGCCGCTGCGTATACCCCGGTAGTGCGAAAGAACTGCGCGAGCCGTAGGAGGTCCAGACTGAATCGCGGATGATGAACTTGCCGAATTGTCGAGATGTCGCCACGTGGCGCCATCATGTGATCGCCGAGAACTCGCTCAGTGAGAAAACTCATGGCGATGGCGATGAGGACGGAGTAAGAGAAGCAGGAGAGGATGAGAGCGATAAGGAGTTGTCTTCCTCGTCCGTAGTGAAGGAGGAAGCAGACACAACTGGAGATGGAGAGGAAGGGAAAGGACGTAGATAGGATACGTGGCGTACGATCGATCGAGCCGATCGGCTTCCCGAGACTTCCGACACGAGGCGCACGGTGTTCACTCCGTTTGGGCCGAGTTTGATCACGCGAAATCGCCCGAAGAATCGTGGCGCTATCTTCCCTTGGCGAGCACATTTCCTCACCTGCACCAGGTCCCCTAATTTATACTGGGGCCATGGTCCTGCGTTCCCATTTCGGGCCTCGTAGCTACGAACCTGTCGGTCGTGGGCCAATTCAGTCATTTTCTGGCGCTTTCGAGCCAATCGGGGAAGGGACCGTTCTATCAGCTCCATGTGCCGCTTGGCCTTGTCCTGAGCCGTGGCCCTTGTGGGCCGTCGGTTCAATGAAGATTCATCGAGGAGGCTTGGTATCGAGACACAAGCTACGTTATTGGTTCGTAATTGGAAGGGGCTAAGGCCCGTCGATTCGTGAGGCGTTCCTCGATGGACTGCCAAGATGTGATCTATGATATCGGGCCAGGGCCTGCGAGTCGGATCGCGTGCCGCGATGTTTCGTCGCAATGCGGTCTTTATCACTCGATTTGCGTTTTCTACTAGGTCATTAGATTGTGATATGTGGGGTGTTGTATTCCGAATAGCGACGCCATGCACGACCAGATTCCTTAATACTTCCCCTCTGAATTCTACCCCATTGTCAGTCAGGGTTTCCTCTGTGTCCTGGTGCATACCTAGAAACCGGTTGATGTATCGCGCGATTTCAGCAGCTTGTCACGTACGACACGGATATGTCTCGATCCATTTCGAAAAATGATCTACGAATACCAGTAGGATTGAATATTCGCAGCTATTAGGTCCAGGGGGCACCACAATATCGGTAGTATCCATGCTAACCCTCTGAAACGGCCGTTCGACTACCGTAGGTACTATCGATCTTGGCGGCTGGATCGGCGCTTTGTCAGCAGCGCAGACCTGACAATTCGCGACGATGAATTTCACATCATCGCGAATATTGGACCAATACCATTCATTCTTATCGATTGCCGCTTCCGTGATCCGTACGGCAAAATGGGCTGCAATTTCTTCATGCGCCGTCTAAACCTAGTCATACCTCATGAACGGGTGCGGCACTACCATCCAAATCCCGCTACCATCCGCCTTCCGTTTTTCTAACCGTCCCTTGTTCCAACGATAATCCCGAGCTCTTTCATTAGCCCTCCTCCTGTCTTCCTTAGTGAAGTCCTGGAGGGGGTTTCCTACCAAGGTGGCAATTAGAGCGATGTCCGTCCATACCTCAACCCTTCTAAACTTTCGGGTTTTTCCCAACCCTTCTGACGTGGCATCAAGAAATCGAGCTTCGGTCGGGATCTTATCAGTCCGACACAAGGGACACAACCAAGGTTTATTGCTATTCCTGTACTGGATGCACGAGCCATGGGCTCGTGCGACACGCTGTCGACAATCTACCCATTCTGCATACCCTTCCCCACTAGGACGCATAGAGATGGAGTAGACTCATCAGATCGCTTCACAAAAATAACAAAACTTGTCGGGTAGGGAGAGAAAAGATGAACATGAGAGGGGAGAAAGAGGAGTTGTAGAATCCTCCGTCACCCATTGCCAATTGCGTGCTCCTTGCCACGTGGAAGGACTGCCACTTGTCCGTACTTGGGTCCGTTCGCTGACTCCGGTTCCTTCCACGGAATAATTTCTTCGCTCTTCGGTACCTTAGCGGGGCGATGCAGACGTGTCAGGCCATCCGCGTTGCCGTGCCTCTCTGTCTTTCAGTGGATGATGTCAAAATCGTATTCCTGTAGGCGCACAGCCCACCGTCCAATCATACCCGTGTAATTAGTGAGCTTCTTGAGAGCCAATAATGGCTCGTGATCGGTTACAAGGAGAAACTTATGTCCGTACAAGTATGGATGGAAGTGTTGAATTCCCCAGACTACAGCATAGCATTCACCTTGTGGGGCTGAGTCGTTCCTTCGTTCGTCTGGCTCCGTACGAGACGCGTACTCGATGACGTGCTCTCGACCATTACTCCCTTTCTGCGCTAAAATAGCGGAAATCGCCTCTGGCTGCCAGTCTGTAACGAGAATGAACTGCTTTGTAGGGTCCGGTCAGATCAAAATAGGTGTCGTCGCGAAAGCGCCTTTAAGGGTGGCGAAGGCCTGTTCGCATTCTGCGTCCCAACTGAGGGGCTGGTCCTTCCAAAGCAGATTCGTCAGAGGTCGTGCAATCGCAGCGAAGCCCTTGATAAAATGACGGTAGTACGATGCCAGTCCCAGGAAAGCTCGAACCTACATCACTGACGTGGGGATAGGAGCATCTTTCACCGCGGCGACTTTTCTTGAATCTGGCCGCAGTCCTCCACGTGTCACCACGTAACCCAAGAACGAGATTTTCGAGAGGAAAAACTCGCTCTTTTCGAGCGCGATTTTGAACCCAGCACCTCTCAGAGCTCCCAGCGTCCACTCGATGTGTTGTGCATGCCCGTGATAGGTCTCCGAGTAAACGAGGATGTCGTTCATGTATACGATGCCACATAAGTTAATCATCCCCTGAGTGAGCCGTGTCTTGTTGACGAGGTTCTGAAACGTCACGTTCATCGCCCGCTGAAACGTGGCAGGCGCGTTGCAAATACCCAACGGACACCGAATCCATTGCCACGTGCCCTCGAACAGTACAAAGGCCGTTTTTGGTCGATCTTCCTCCTTAATCAGAATGTGATGGAAACCGTAACGAATATCAAACTTACTAAAATAATTAGCACAACCAATCGCATCCAGCAAATCATCAATCCTAGGAAGGGGGTACACATCTTTGATCGTGATGTCATTCAGTTTGCGATAATCAATGCATCTGCGAATCGACCCATTCTTTTTCGGCACCAATACTACCGGGAACGACCATGGCCCAGTGGCGGGTTCGATCCAACCATTGGCTTCAAATTCTTGAATCCGCTTGAGGGTCATTTTTCGTTCTGCCAGGGAGTATCTGTAGGGCTTACAGTGAATCAGGGGATAGTTTCCAGCTTGAATTTTGTGTTGTATGACTAACGACAGTCCAATGTCTGTGTCCGTCAGACTAATCGCTCCTTTGTATTCTTTAAAAATTTATGCGATTAAATGATGAATTTCATCAGGTACGTATTGGGGCACGCGCAACTCGTACAACTCATTCCATATCCGTACAACGATATGTTTCGTACTTACCCGTTTAGCGCTTTTGGGTGGAGGCGCAATAATAAATGAGTTGTCCGACCGCTAGGAGAATACCGTGGCCAGGATGGCCACGTGTTCTTCCGGTGTTATCTCGTCTCGAATGTCCTGCCAAGGTACTAGTTTCGTCGCGATCTTAATCCCAAGTCTGGTTTCGAGGCGCTCAGGGGGTTCCAAAGACTGGTCTCCGCCTCTAAGCATATCAATCGTATCTCTTTTGCAGCCATTAAGAGAGATCGTGGGAGGTTTGTGATGTCGCAATAGTGCCTTTTGTCATTGTATCGTGTAAGTAGAGGGGAGATACCTTCGTACAGGGTTCGAGGGGGTTCTAAAGAATCGACCATCATCGAAATCTGCATGATGGGCTCACCCATAATCATGGCTTGCGTTCTCTGTAGACTCTGATCGGTCAGGCTTAGTGACCTTGTGTTTGCTCGTTGCATCAGGTAATAAATACACTGTTGCGCCATTTCCAGGATCTCTGGATCGTCCTCGTCACTGCTGTCCATGTCTTTTGTCGGTTGTCCGTCATCTGCGGAATTATCCCAGGTGATCACACAGAGAGTTCCCGCCATCATGGGGAAGATTCGCAGAGTCGCGTTAGTGGCGGTACGAAGGGKGAATCTCATCGGTACAACATACGACTTTCCTCCTGTATTTCGGAGGACAATCGATCGTCTTTCGAAATCCAGATTGGCTCTCAGGGCCACAAGAGCGGGAAGGTTGAAAATAACATCGTAAGTGTTCACGTCCCACGGTTTTAATCGTAAGTGTTCACGTCGAAAAGCAACACTGGTCATTCGTCCCATCGTTTTAATATTTTCCTCATCTGCTGAAATGAGCTGATATTTTTTCGTAAGCATGATTAGATCGTTCTTCCTCCCTGCTCTTTCAACTACTTGTAACGAGATAGCCAGAACAGCGGCTCCTGAATCGATAATGACATTGTAGGGGATTCCCCATATCTTGATATCACATTCTGCATATTTCCATGGGATTGGTTTAATCCGTAGGAAGTGATCATCTTTCTGGATTAATCCTAATCGTATCGGCTCTGAATTTCCTGCTGCATTTTCATCTGGCGTGGGATTTTTCGCTTTTGTGCTCGCTGTTCGGACAAGGGCGAATCGTTTTCGATTCGCATTGCAGTGTTGCAACATTCGTTTGTTGGCTTGTTCCGATATCGAAAGTAGATGACCGATCGGAAGGGGAATCCGATGGTCCAAGGCTCGAACGATGTTTAGAACATCGATTTCTCCTGTGACGAAGGTGGGTCCTCCCGGCTCCATGTCTCCTAGAGAGGGTCGCCATTCCGCCACTTCTCTTTGTTTTGGCGCGGGTTTAATCGTTCCAATCATCCCAAGCCTCGGGTAGCCATGGCAAGTGTCACGTACAACTTCCTTCATCGTAGCTAATGTGCTTCCGCCTCCTTCCATTTCTTCCATCAAAGCCCCTACTCGTCCAGGTCCGGGGCCGCTGCTACCGGTGCGGCGCCGACTCGTTGCTGCGGAGGTCGATGAGGGCAATCCCGGGCTATATGTCCTGGTTGGTGACACGTGTAATAGACGTTCAGATTGCCTGGGATCCCTGTGGGAGGGGGTGCCGGAGCCAATCCGTGCTGAATCGGGGCGGCACGCACCGCTATTGGCTGCATCGACCTCATCATCGCCTCTATCTGAGCGTTGTGTTTCCGCTGTTCCTTTAAGTTTTTGCTGTCATGAATCAGAGTAACCAATGTCTTGGTTAGTTCTAATAAGGCGGAAGACTCATTCGGTCGTGAAGGGGTTTCGATCGGGGGTGGAGGTGCTGTCATCACGGGCATGAGCACGCTCGTAATCACACTCGGGACCGGTCGTTTGGGACTAATCTGCTCCATATAGGTGACAGGGCCCGACACAAACCCCATGTTTTCAAATTTGTTCTGCAGTGCAGCCAACTCAGCTTTAGCTCTTGCCAGCTCGGACGAGTCTCCTTCCCTAGGATAGTCTTCCCCTTCTAGGAAACTCGCAGCGAACTTTCGTTCCATTTCTTCTGCAGCTGCCATGATCTGTTGCAGCGTGTGGTTGATGGGGGAGAACTGCTTTCGCAGTTTCGCCCTCATCGTTCGGCTGCGAAGTCCATCGATGAACAAATCTCGACCTACTTGTTCGCCTCGTTTTATTTTCATAAACATCCTATAGAATCGGTTTCGATACTCAGTAACAGATTCGATGGGGTTTTGAACTCGATCTTTAATCATAAAAAAAGTTTGTTTGGGGTGGATGTAATTAAATCGGTTCAAGAAATCTCGCTCGAATGTCAGGAGATCGACCCATACATAGGTGCTAAACCAGTGATGGGCAGCTCCTCCCAATCGTGCGGGGATATTCACTTGTGCCTCGTTGTCATCATACTGTTGAGCCCGGAGCGTGGCTAACCATGCTCTAGCGAGATGATGAGCAGGGTCGAATAGATAAAGATCGGGTGACGTCATGGGAGCCCGTGCTCGTGGCACGGATTGATTAGGATTCTGCTGGGGATTCGGGTTTTGTTGGGGGTTCTGCTGCTTAACATTCATATTGACCGTCCGTCGAGCCGCAGACCGGCTTTTGGTGACGACGGGATCGCGTTGTTGTGCGTTCCGGGGTCGAGGTCGTACCTGTTAGCCAGATCGCCAGCTATGAGTCCTAGAACCCTGCCACGTGTCGGACCGCGATACCAGCCTCACACCCGGCGCAGCTTCCTGATCGGAGTGGGATGTGGGCCTGGAAGTGCGAGAAGGGGTGTGCCAAGGATTTTTGGGGAAGTGGGGTTGGAGTCCCAGGTCGGAACTGAGATCTTCTGTGGCAAAGTTTTAGGGGCATAGATGCAATAGAGCCACAGGGGGGGGGGGGTTACTTTCGCGAGTCTTTCGGTCTGTTGGCGTTCGATGTTGTGCAGCATAAGGCAGATGGCATGTGCAGTGCATTCAAGGTCGTCCGATCCGTCTGTTTTGGGGGCGGCGGTTCGGGGAGAGGCCCGCCCGAGATGGTTGTGCTCCCGATGAGTCGCACCTTTGAGTATAGACATGTGGCGTCTATCGTCTCGCGTTTGGGTTGTGCCCTCTTTCAGGGGCTCGTCGGTTGCCGCGTCGCCGACAGTTTCCGCAGGGTGTGTGGGGCCAGTACGAGGCGATGGAATTCCACGTAACCACCGTGAGTTGGTAATATGGGAGGAGGAGACGGAAGGGAGGGAAATTGGTAGAGATAACGACGAAGCCGGGGGATATGAAATATTGCGTGTTGTCCGAATTGGGAAAATCGGGGCACCTCGGGTCGCTGGTTGTGGCGCAGTGAAACTACGTGGGGCACAATCGATTCTCGGTTAGGCAGGGGAATTCTGGGTATCTTTGCCTAATACACTCTCTCACCCAAGGGTCGAAGTACTCTGAGTCCCAAGAACTCGGCATCTTATCATTGCAGTGTGATGGAATTCTTCCGCACGCGTCTAACCAGCAAGGAGATTTTTCGATGTGATATCGAAAACTCTTATCCGTTTAGGTACGTGGGGGAAGGAAAATTCCCGCCTATCCGATATCAAGGGTGTCAAGTTCGTCAATGGTCGCGAATCGGCGCGCGTGGATATGTGTAGGCTGCGTAGATCAGATTGCATTTTTTTTAGCCATATCGACGTCCCCTCATCTTACCATGACCATATCAACCATGCAAAACAACGCCCAAACTCATCATCTATCGTGGTCAGAAGGGGTATCAACTCTAACTTCCTTTCTACCAGTCAGCGTGCATTAGCGCATAATCAAAACGCTTATCCCTCTAATGCTACCCCTACTGCACCAACCAAAACCAACTCGCATAGTCAACCTTCACCCTGTCTTGTACCCTCAAACGATTAATCACAAAAGAAAAACTTCTTACTTTGCCTATTTCTCACATTCTCATACCCGGATATCGTTCTACCAGGGACAACGGCAGACAACCGTTATCCCCGGCAACGACGCCACCTGTCGAGCGCATCGGTCCGACACCGCACATGGCAGAGCGGGACCCTCTTGGCCGCGTCACTCAGGAGTTGGTTTAAATCCTTCGTCGCAAATGCATATGGAGCTCCCGCAAGCCGCTCCAGCCGACTGCGCCAGCCATACCTCTCGCGAGCCCCTACGGCAGGACAGGGCCTACGCGAGGCACGACTTACCTCCACCTTACGGGAGTTGTCACCTCCCTTCGGTGGGCGTATCCCCGCGAAGCTACCAGTCCACATTACGAAAGTTAATCAGCTGCAATCGCAGAGGTGGACCAGCCGAGGGCGTTTCTCGTTCGCTGTAGTATAGGGGGTACGCATGGTAGTACGCCTCTATCGAACCCGCACGCGAACCGACATCTTGGGGGGCTGAGGTCCCAAGCGCGACTCGTCGCCGGTCGACTATGACGTATCCCACACGCCACGTGCACACCACTATAAAGAACATAAAAATAAAAACTCATGCATATATACAAACATATACAAAACGACAGAGGACAAACAACGCGACAACACTCCTAGTCCCTTAGTAGCCATCCCATAATTTTCCGATGCGGAAATCGGATAGGCGTCGCGCGCGAGACTTTGTATAAAACTGTGCGGACGCAGGGCTAACTCATATCGATTCGGAATGCAAGCGTACTCAAGCGATCGCAATGATGGTGTACTATGTAGTACCCATACTCATGCGGTCCTCGTTAATCTCGAGGGCCTCATTCGACACTCAAGTGTCGGCTGACATGCGCCTTGAGTGTTAATCTCTCGACGATGGACAACCGCCAAGTGCGGTTGAGAACCACACCCTCTTCTGCACCCTGCGGAGAGTGGGTGGTACACAGATTCATACCTGTGGTGGCAATCGTCTCTTATTGCCCTGGAGACCAGCTCCAACATCTAGGGTCTGGGGAGCAGTCAAGGGGTTTGACTTTGATGGCTGTCGCGAACTACAACGTCCAACCATAGAAATTATAAAGAGCAAAGCATAAAAGAGGACCTCCCTCTTCTCTCGAGAACATAATCTGTTTAACTCTTACGCGTGGTCCCAGTAGGCTGCGCGAAACACTCAGAACCTGTATATTCACACACACACACACACACACACACACACATATATATATATATATATATATATATATATATATATATATATATATATATATAAAGAGAGAGAGAGAGAGAGAGAGTTATAAATATAGGACGATCACTTCTCACAGTCATAGTGAGACTCCTCTCAGCCATATATATATGTATGTGAGCGCAGACAGTCAAATCCAAAGTCCGAATCACCAAACATGCCTGTAATCACATAAAAGATTCAACCAAAAAGTCAATGCACTACACGGGGTGAACTTCAACCATTCTCTACACTCACACCCCTTGCTTTTAACCATACAAGCCTCACTCTTTGTGCAACTCCCCAAAATAAGATACTCAATACTTTTCTTTAAATGGTCATTCAAATAAAGTCTGGGTGAAAACACAACAAAACAGTTCAAATCACAAGGCTAAAGCCTTTAGGTTGAGTGGCAGAAGTGGATTGGAGTTGAATCGTAAACCGACGAATCGGCAACCGACCTGTTATCAGTAATACCAGAAGATGATCCTTATAGGATCAAGCTGAATCTAGCCCAAATCTTGAATCAATCGATCAAGAAGACCTGTAACACAAGACATGTCAATCCCCAAGCTAAATTTATAAGTCAACAGAGAATAATCCCTATATCACGATCTCACTCAAATCATTTTAATTAACTAAGCCTAAGTCTACCTTCAAGTAAGTGTCAAAAGAAAGGTAAACCCTAACAAAACCTCCTCTATACAGAGTGAATTTTCCAGAATCGCCACCTATCAAAATATAATCTAACTCCTCTAAACTAAGAAAATTTC